TATTCAATATTAAAATCCAAGTCACCTGACTTCCCAGTCTGGGCCTTGTCTCTCACTTCTGGAGTGATGGGGGACAGCTTGATACATTACTCGGGTAGTAGGGCGGTTTAACTGCTGTTGGTTGGCAGGTGTGTCGGCATTGCCTGGAAGACTGAAATGTGGCCACTGAGTCTTCTTTGATCTCACACTCACGTGAAGACTGCCAGGGTAGGGGCTACAGTCTCTATTTCAATGTCTCTTGCAGTTACCAGTTCGACTCCTCCAGGCTTTGCCCTTATTGTTGTCCCCCATGAGCTACCCTGTCTGGTGGCTGAGTGCAAGTGAGATTTGTCTGCTGTAGTCCGTGGTCCTCATCGTTTCTCTCCTGCCCTTGAAAACTTCGATGACATCTCATTATCTACATATCATTTTCTAACTCCTCGGCAAGACGGTCAAGGCCTCGTATGATCAGCCCCAGGGTGGTTTTCCAGCCTCGTCCGCCAGCCCTCATGCAGCCCATGCTCATGCCAAACAGTCACCTTGGCATTTTCCACATGGATCCGGTGCCTTATCACTCCCGGCCTTTCCTCACGTGGTTCCAGCACCTGAAATACTGGCTGTCCACGTCATTCCCTGCAGACCTCGTCCCCACCATCCAAACAGTGAAGTTGTGTCACCTTTTCCTACTCCCGCCCCAGCTCCTCTGTTCCCTCCTCCACTGTGGCAGTTTTCACACTCTGCCTTTAGTGCAGTTATTTGAAAGCTTGCCATTCTTCTCCTTATGTTTTAAAATTTTATTGAAGTATAGTTGATTTAGAGCGTTGTGTTAATTTCTGCTGTCCAGCAAAGTGACTCAGTTTTGCATATGTGTACTCTTTTTCATATTCTTTTCCATTATGGTTTGTCACAGGATATCGAACCTAGTTCCCTATGCGATACAGTAGGACCTTGTTGTTTATCCCTTCCATGTATAATAGTTTGCATCTGTTAATCCCAAACTCCCAATCCATCCTCCCTCCCCCACCCCACTCCTCCCCCCTTGGCAACCACAAGTCTGTTCTCTATGTTTGTGTCTGTTTTATAGATAAGTTCATTTGTGTTGTGTTTTAGATTCCACATGTAAGTGCTATCGTATGGTATTTGTCTTTCTCTTTCTGACTTACTTTGCATAGTATGATCATCTGTAGATCCATCCATGTTTCTGGAAATGGCATTATTTCATTCTTTTTAACAGCTGAGTAGTATTTCATTGTCTATAGGTACCATATCTTCTTTATCCATTCATCTGTCAATGGACATTTAGGCTGTTTCCATGTCTTAGCTACTGTAAGTAGTGCTGCTATGAGCATAGGGGTGCATGTATCTTTTGGAATTATAGTTTTGTCTGGATATGTGCCCAGGAGTGATATTGCTGGATCATATGGCAACTCTGTTTTTAGTTTTTTGAGGAACCTCCATACTGTTTTCCATAGTAAAGCATGCCGTTCTTTTAATGAAACCGTGAGGTTCTACAGAGTGGGGACTGAGTCGTATCATCTCTGCATGGCAAGCGTGTGGGTGATGGTGTCTGGGGAGCACACCGAGTGTTGAATTGAATTGTCTAGGCCACACCATTGCAGGTTGTGCTCTGTTGTGCTTAAACCTGCTTAGGACGTTGGCAGCAACTGCCTGAGGAATTGACTCTTGTTCACTACAGGTGCCGTACCTCTGTGTTTATGTAACAAACCTCTCTTGAGGACCTGTCCCCTGTGCACTAGATTCATGTAGCAATGGTAGATGTAATAGAGTTATATTCTTCCTGGCCTTTTTTCTTGTGCCAAGAAGTTAGCTGTATCCCTTTATCTCATTTTGGGTAATGCTGTAATGCCATTTAATATTACATATGGCTCATAAGTTGACATGCCCATGTTTTATATGTTTACAGCTATTAAATTTATATTTGTACCTAGAGTTCTCGTCTGAGATCCGTACTTAACATATTCAGTAGCTTCCTAAACATGACCACTAGAATGCCCCACAGTCCCCTCAGATTCAACATGTCTAACGCAGAGCTCAGGATTCACCTCCCAAACCATTCCCCTGCCAGCAAGCCCTGCCCCTCTCATCCTGCTGTGCAAACTAGAAACCTGGGGGTCATTCTTAAAATTTCCCTTTTTCATATTCGTCATTTAATTTGTCACCAAATAATTTAGATTTTGCCTCAAGCACTACTGCTAGCGCCCAACTCAGGCTGCCCTCTCCTCTTGCCCAGGCTGTAACAGCTGGGTGAGCCAAGAACCATGGATGGCCAGGAGTGGGGTTGGTTACCAGCCAGCAAGGACTGGGACGGTGAGTTGCTGAAAGGGATCAGTGGGACAGAGGCAAAGGCAGAGGACTGGACAGGGAGGACCGTGGCAACATCACGGCAGAGGTGGGTCTTCTTGCTGTGCAAAGAGCCCCTTGCAGAATGCACACATAAGGCATCTGGAAATCGAGAGGCTGACTTTGGAGAGTGTGCCGTTGGGGAGCTGGAGAGACCCTGAGAGAGGCTGGCCAGGCCCCTGTATTCGTTGCTCAGCTACCCACATGTGATCCCCTTGGTGCACAGTTTCTGCTGTGGGCCTGGATTTTTATGAGGAGAGTTGAATTTCATATGCATTCCTGATGTGCACCTTCCTCTTGTGCAAGCTGTAGCATTCCCTTTCTGGAACGCTTGGCATCTTTATAAGGAGGTGGTACCTGAATACTGGCGGGCAGGGTCAGGTTGTTTCTTGGTGACAATAACAAATGACTGTAGACCTTGGAGGGTCTGGAGGCCCACTGGATATCCTGGTGGGAAGAGTCCCACAGTGTGTGCTTGTGCTTGTAGCCGTGTCTCCTTGCTTATGTGTGTTTGGGAAGGAAGCAGTGGCCCCATGCCCCTCCCTGCCTAGGTGCTGGTTTGCAAGACTGCCTTATTTTTCCCAAGAGACAGTCGGTCTACTCTAAAGGATGACATGTTAACGTGCAAAGGCCGATATTCCACCTCACATGGTGCTTCAGAAGGCAGGATCAACAGCCGAGCTTCAGAAAGGTTCAGACCTAGGGTAGTGCTACGCATTTGTTTCCTGGGAGGAAATTTCACTTCTCTAATAGAGGCCAGGGGTTGAGGTAGGGATAGGGGAGGGGAGAGGTGAGAGGAAACTCCTAGCTACCAATTATTGTTGTCCTCCTTGGCTGCAGAGAGGTGCAAGCTGTTAAAAGGCAGGTGTCTGATTCTCCACAACATCCTTTTTTTTTTTCTTTTTTTCCTTTTGAACGAAGGAAAGCGGGCCACTTAAATTCTCTCCATAGGCCCAAAGGCAGAAGGAATCTTGGCATTTATGAGAGGGGCCCCAGAGTCCAGGTTAGTGACCTAAGGCGGGGCAGCCTGCTTTAAAGAGGCTCTGGCAAAGGTCATTACCTAAAAGTAGTTTTGTTCTGAGTGAAATTAAAAACAGAGAGGGTGTATGCGAATGAAATGTGTATGTACTACAGCAAATACAATAAATAATCAGTGCCTTCTCTCAGTATAAAATCATTCATCTCTATGATAGGAATCTTCTCTGAAATGAGGCAGTTCTGTAAAACTCCTGGGAAAGACACACTTAAAGTTAAAGCCACTCATTTCTCACTTCTTACTTCCACTGTGTACTTTCTAAGCAAAGTAGACCCGTATCTGAAGCTTCTTCATGCAGTGGTCCAAAGCCTGTTCGTTCGATAAATATTCTAGATGTTATTTGAGCGGGTGCGTGCATATAGAGAAGGAAAGCGCAGCAGAATGCACTTGGTCTGCATCATATGATGTGTATGTATAACAGTGCCCAGAAGAGGTGAGCTTGTGTGATTTGGAGGCATTTAGTCTGGATTCATCCTCCAGCTTTGTCACCCATTGTCTGTGGGACTTTAGGCAAACTACTCAACCTCTCTGAACTTTAGTTTTCTCCCCTGAAAAATGGGGATAACTGCACCTCGTCTCAGGATGGGTGGGAAGATAAAGTGCTTTACCACCCGCAGTGTGTGAACATCAATATCATCCCTCCAACGACAGCCCTGGTTATTGCTTTATCTGTGGTCCGCCCAGATCCGCCTCTGTGGCCTCAGCTGGTGGCAGTGTGTGCACTCTGTCACGTGATTACCGAGCATAACTTCTCTTCAGGGGCCTGAGGTCAGATGCTTCCTCTGCGCCGTCATCTGTTGGCACTGGGTGGACCTGTCTCCTGCTGCCAAACTGACTCATCTCCAAGACCCCCTTCCCCTCTCCTCCCCCTGTTCAGGCACAGAAGTCCGGCTCTGGAGGGAACACTCAGGCCGCAGAAGACCTGCTGCTGCTCGGCAAGCCTCTGACAGACCTTATCAGCCTGCTCATCCCGCTGGTAAGAGCTCACACACCTGCTGTGTGTCTCTCAGGTCGTTGCAGAGGGTGAAGTGATTTTATTTGAATTTCATGATGTCTTGAGTTGCTGTGCTCTTTTGATTCCTTTCAAAACTAGAACCAAAAGAAATTTCAGAGGATTATTTAGCCTGGAAATACTAAATTTCTACTTTAATATGCGGTGGCTCATCATTCATTTAAGTGGATATTTAAGTAAGGCAGAGCCTCAAATTCTTCTTAACGGATGTGAAGTTAAAAAAAAAAAAAAAAAAGGAAAATCGAGAAATGAATTCCAAGAAGGAAGAAGAAATCCATTGTGGGCGTCAATTCTCTTTCAAAAAGATATTTTAGGGTTACTTGGCATGCAGGACTACCCTGAAATGCAGAAGCTCAGACAGAGCTAGAGCATATCCACCACAGTCTCCATAGAAATAGAATGAAATAAGTGAAATTACACGAAAACAGATGAGACTGCACAAGACTACTGAGTATGTGAAAAGAACCCAATGGAGACTTGGGAGTTTGGACCAACTGAACCTCATTGTAGTTTTGACTTGCATTTCCCTGATAATTAGCAATGTTGAGCATCTTTTCATGTGCCTATTGGCTATCTGTATGTCTTCTTTGGAGAAGTGTCTTTGTAGGTCTGCCGCCCATTTTTTTGATTGGTTTGTTTGTTATTTTTGTTATTGAGCTGTTTGTATGTTTTGGAAATATGCAGGACATAGATGGGGCTCCAGTGGACAGAGGGAAGACTAACCAAATCATGCACTCTTTAAGGACATATGAAAGACTCAAAACATCCCCATTAAATATAACTGATGCAATATATGATATGTAGGATAATACTTATAGCATATAAGATTTAAACAATGAAAAAAGCTTAAAGGCAGTTGAAGAATCTATTTCAGGTAAACTTCTAGGACACTATTTCACATATGTATCTTATAGACAGGGTTTTGGTGTTTGCCACATTCTGAGATTTGCTTTAATAGTTGAATTTATTCCAGTTAGATTTATTCTTAAACCTATCTTTGGGGCTTCCCTGGTGGCGCAGTGGTTGAGAATCTGCCTGCCAATGCAGACAACACGGGTTCGAGCCCTGGTCTGGGAAGATCCCACATGCCATGGAGCAACTGGGCCCGTGAGCCACAATTACTGAGCCTGCGCGTCTGGAGCCTGTGCTCCGCAACAACAGAGGCCGCGATAGTGAGAGGCCTGCGCACCGCGATGAAGAGTGACCCCCACTTGCCACAACTAGAGAAAGCCCATGCACAGAAATGAAGACCCAACACAGCCATAAATAAATAAATAAATAAATACATTGTGTATTATTAAAAAAAAAAAAAAAACTTATAAAAAAAACCTATCTTTGGTCTTAATTTTATTGTCTTATTGTATATTTTCTTTCTAAATGTTTTCCTCTATTAGACGTAAGGTTTAATGCAAAACAAAAAACCTTTATCAGGACAAAGAGAAGGACTCTACAATGGTAAGGAGTAAAATCCACAGGAAGATACAATAACTATGAACCTTTTTGTGTCAGATATCAGAGCACAGAACTATAAAAACAGAGAAGGACCAAAACATACAGGGAAGAACAAGTACAGTAATATCAAGAGATTTAACCTGTCTTTCTCGTCAAGTGGATGAAAATGATGATGTAGAGCAGGGGTTGACAAACTAAGGCATGTGGACTAACTCTGGCCCACTGCCTCTTTTTGTAAGTAAAGTTTTATTGAATACAGCCACACAAACAATTGTCTATGGCTGCTTTTGCATCTTGACGGTAGAGTTGAGGAGTTACAACAGGGACTCTGTAGCTCACAGGCCTGTGTTGTTTACTTTCTGGCTCTTTACGGAAAAGGTTTGTTGACCCCTGGTATAGAGGATATGAAAACTTTAGTAAGATTAATCTAGTAGAAGTATATCCGTCTCTCTACCCTGAAAATAGAGACTGTACCTTCTTTTCAATTTTCTGGAAATACTTTAAAAAGTTCACCATGCGTTAGGTTAAAATCATATCAATAAATTCCAATAAGTAGGAATTGTATAGACCACATTGTTTAACCATAATACACTTAAACTAGAAGGAAAAATAAAAACAATAAAAATACACTGTTAGCAAATATTATTGATGAGCACAGTCAAAGACATTGTGATTGTATCAGTCTGGGTCCCATCAGAAGACAAACCACATAGTGATTTAAACAAGAGAATTTCAGTATAAAGAATTATTAAGCTATAATTGGAGATTAAATGGAAGATTTACAAAGAACTCTGTAGGGTATCCGAAAGCTGAGGGAGAGGGAGAGTACCTCAGGAAGGACAAACTTGAAAGGGGATGCCTCTTCCCCAAGGCTGTGGGTCAGACCTCATTGGAGAAGATGTGACTACAGCCCACAGGACAGTGGGCAGATTTGCTGGGTTGCCCAGGCCAGAGCTGGTCCACAATCCCTGGGAAGCAGGAAGCAACCCTTGAGAGTGCCGGTGAATCGTAGCTAGTGGGCAGACACACAGAGGGTGGCAGGGTGCCGCTGCTGGTGGTGGGAGGCCTGGAGGGTCCGATGTCTGTGTAGGGAGGACCACAGGAGACGAACCCAGAGAGGCAGGCAAGTAGGAGGAGTCGGGGTGCCAGTGCTCGGGAAAGCCTGGAATGTATAGTCTCCACTAGGGAGAGCAGTGGAACTGTGATCACAGGCCAGGCTAGGATGAGGGCTGCAGAGGGACCCAATATTGTGGGCCCCCGCTAAGGTCAGACCTCCACCAGATGCCACGACACCCGTACTTCTGGCCTACACTACAGCCAGAAATAGCTGGAGAGCCCCTTCTTGCTGCAGTGTATCCTCTGAGATCTTTTCCCCAGCCTTTGGGACTCTGAACTCCTGTTACTAGTAACTTGATCACACTTAGGTTCTAGTACATTGGCCAAATGTCTGCCTAAAGTGTGTGAACTGTGTTGTGTACATACACATTTACCACTGGAGCCATTAGGTTTAAAAATGGCCTGCGACAAACATTCAATATGTCTTCTCTGGAAAAGATTAATACACATTTACAGCTGTGTATACAGTGAAGAAAAATAGTAATAAGGCTATTGAGGGCCTCAACTAGAGCACATACAGGCCAAAGATAAATTTTTATAGTGGTTGTTAAAAATGTGATAAGTTACAGAATGAGGTGCTGGAATTGCTTTCCCACAGGGAAAAATAAGCAGACTTTTAGTTTTCACTGGACTTGGGTAATTGCAGAAGTATTTTACCTAAAGGAAGGAGAATGACCTTGTTAGCTTTTGAGGTTCTTTCCGGATAGGGTCCTGTGAAAGTAAGCATACTTATCCTTCAGGGAGTATGAAACCTGTCAACCCATAATTTACGACCCATGTTTATACTTTACACTATAAAATCATAGTGAACTGTGGGTATAAGACTGATTCTCAGTCTTTTTTTTTATATATATAAATTTATTTATTTATTTATTTATGGCTGCGTTGGGTCTTCGTTGCTGCACCCCGGCTTTCTCTAGTTGCGGTGAGCGGGGGCTACTCTACGTTGTGGTGTGTGGGCTTCTCGTTGCAGTGGCTTCTCTTGTTGCAAAGTCCGGGCTCTAGTCGCGCGGGCTTCGGTAGTTGTGGCTTGTGGTCTCTAGAGCGCAGACTCAGTAGCTGTGGCTCACAGGCTTAGTTGCTTCACGGCATGTAGGATCTTCCCAGACCAGGGCTCTCACCGTGTCCCCTGCGTTGGCAGGCAGATTCTTAACCACTGCGCCACCAGGGAAGTCCTCTCAGTCTGTCTTGAGTGTGAACTACTTAGAGAATCTGATGATTCTGTACTCCCCAGGAAAAATGCCTAGAGTCACCTATATGCAAAGTTCTGTACACAATACAGAATTTCAAGGGGCTCTTTGAACCCTCAATTGGTAACCATAGTGTGAGTAAGGTATGGCTAATAAAATATATAACAAGTTGACTATGTCTCCTGAAGAAAAGATAAAGCAGGGTAGTTGTTTGACGTAAATATTTTCTTTTTTAAAAATAAATTTATTTATTCATTTTTGGCTGCGTTGGGTCTTCATTGCTGCATACGGGCTTTCTCTAGTTGCGGTGAGCAGGGGCTACTCTTCATTGCGGTGTGTGGGCTTTTCATTGCGGTGGCTGGCTTCTCTTGTTCGGGAGCACAGGCTCTAGGAGCACGGGCTTCAGTAGTTGTGGTGCACAGGCTCAGTAGTCGTGGCTCGCGGGCTCTAGAGCGCAGGCTCACTAATTGTGGCACACGGGCTTAGTTGTTCCGCGGGGCTCGGAACTGTGTCCCCTGCATTGGCAGGCAGATTCTTCACCACTGTGCCACCAGGGAAGCCGCTAAATATTTTCTTTTTCAAGAAAATACAAAGCCAGGATATGTATCCCAGGTGACTTTTGTAACTAGATAATTAATTGCTATAAAAATTACGCTGCAGGTTCCTTTTCCCCTATTAAAATAAGTATTTTCAAATTTATAAGAGATAATTGTTTTTTGTTTTGTTTTGTTTTGTTTTGCGGTACGCGGGCCTCTCACTGTTGTGGCCTCTCCCGTTGCGGAGCACAGGCTCCGGACGCGCAGGCTCAGCGGCCGTGGCTCACGGGCCCAGCCTCTCCACGGCATGTGGGATCTTCCCGGACGGGGGCACGAACCTGTGTCCCCTGCGTCGGAAGGTGGACTCTCAACCACTGCGCCACCAGGGAAGCCCATAGATAATTGTTTTTAAGGTTTTCCTTATTATATGCCAAAGATGCCAGTCTTCAGCCTGGCTTATACTTTTCATATTAACCATGCCTTTCTCGGCCGCTGGAAAGGTGTCCCTCTGCAGTCTGGGTAGGATTGCAGTCCTCACCTAGCATCTCCTATGTTGATCTCCTGTAATATCCTCTGGATAACTTTTTTTTTAGTGAAGTGTCTGGCAGTTCTTCTTGGCTGTAAACTTGTAGCCTCCTGACAAAAAATTATTGAATTACAGAGATCCAGC